GGATTTTGCGGGTGCTTCTGCTTCCCCACTACAGGATAGGGTTGAAGATGCTTGTCCTGACATCTTAATCATGACAACAAACAGTACCCGGTACCGAAACTGAAAGGAGCCCGGGGTCTGGAACTGAGAACTTTACCGAAAGCCTGTATGCTGACCACTACGGTTTAGGGTTTAGGGTTTAGGGTTTAGGCGAAAGAAGCAGTTACACTTTTAATGCGAAGTGAGGCATAAACTCCACGCCGCACAACGTCAACTGCTTGCAGCATTCCCCCCAACACCCTTCACTCGAAAGTCAGGACTTCCAACCCTTTGAAGAGAGCGGAAATAATCTAAATGGTCCCCAAGGTTCGCTGATCGGAATACAAAGTGGTTCAGAATATGATGAGTAGAAAAAAGGGTGTTGGGGTGTTCCAGCTCGCAAGGAAGCCAAAAGAGCCTGCAATTCGTCTTGGTTCGAGCTGTCGGGATGAATATAGGGGCCTTAATAATTAGAATAGGGTTTTGGTGTATAATATATAACAACTACAATAAGGAACCTCCAAAATAGCATAGGCAATTATTTAGGCCTCTACATTAGGCACTCACATTCGTTGATGGACGAGTCCAGTCTTAGCCCTCTTTCCACGAAGCCGGGAACCCGAACCCGAAACCCGAAGCCCGGGATGGAGACACCAGGCGACACTCTCTTGTTCTTTTCCATGCCAGCTTGCAACTTCGGCAAAGGAATCGAACGGCCGAACATACGGGCGTTTAACACTAGACTAGGGTTTGGTCGAGATATTATCGTAACGTTACAATACGGAGCCCTAAGGTATAAGACACGTCGCGCCCCAGATTAAAGCTGGTCTGGTCAACGCCAGATGCTCTGGAGATGATGTTGCTAGTGCTGATGACTTCGAAGGCATCTGCAACCTCTTAGGAGTTAATAATTAGAATAGGGTTTTGGGATATATTGTACTATAAGTGTAAGGAATCTTAATTATTAGAATAGGGTTCTGGGGTATATTGTACTATAATTATTAGGACCCCTCAAAATAGTATAAGTATAGGCAATGAGTATAATCAGGCCCTTATATTAGTGCCCGTGCCCCGCCACAACAGACAAAGGGGTGGTGCCACTAACTGGCTGCCTGGTCCTTGTCAGCCTTGGCCTCTAGCAAAAGACGTGCTACTCCCAACTGTCCAGCTTGAACTGCAGCGAAAAGTGGGGTGGCTTCCCCGTCCGTTGTAGCCTTGTCCTTGTCAGCCTTGGCCTCAAGCAAAAAGCGCACAACCTCCAACTGCCCACGCTCAGCTGCAATGAATAGAGGTGTGGCGTTAGTGTTGGTGGCCTTATCCTTGTCAGCCTTTGCCTCCAGCAACATTTGTGCTACCTCCACATGTCCATTCTGAGCTGCAACGAGAAGTGGAGTGGCTTCCCTGTCCGTTGTAGCCTTGTCTTTGTCAGCCCTGGCAGCAAGCAAAAGCCGCACAATCTCCAACTGCCCTCGCTGCGCTGCAATGAACAAAGGTGTTGCGTTGTTGCTCGTGGCCTTGTCCTTGTCAGCCTGGGCCTCCAGCAGGATGCGAGCTACCTGTAAGTGGCCTTGCTGGGCTGCAGCGAAGAAAGCAGTGCCGCCCCTAACCGTGGCCTTGTCCTTATCAGCTTTGGCCTCCAACAGGAGGCGCGCTACCTCCAGCTCCCCATTCTGAGCTGCAACGAGAAGCGGAGTGGCTTCTATGTCCGTTGTACCACGGTCCTTGTCAGCCTTGACCTCCAACAAAAAGCGCACAACCTCCAACTGCCCGCGCTCGGCTGCAACGTAAAGAGGAGTGACGCCCCTGTCCGTGGTAGCCATATTCTTGTCAGCCTTGGCCTCCAACAAGAGGCGTGCCACCTCCAAGTGGCCTTGCTGAGCTGCAAAGAACAAGGCTGTGGCATTGTTGTTCGTGGCCTTGTCCTTGTCAGCCTTGGCCTCCAACAAAAGGCGGGCCACCTCCAAGTGGCCCTGCTTGCATGCGATGAGCAGAGGAGCTGGATGACCTAAATCTGGGTCTTGCGGCCTTTGCAGAATGGCCTCCACACCTGCTGTACCGCCCCTCTGTGCCGCATGCCCGAGCTCTTTTATTTGCACTGCCGATGCTGGGATGAAGTTTAGAAGCACGAGCTGAAGTTCGCCCGGTTTCAACATGCCTTCGTCGTCACTGTCATTCAACACGATGCCGTCATCCAAGAATGCCAGACGTTGCCTGAATCTTGGCAGGTGGCACAAGCTCTGCAAGCTCTGCTTAATTGCCTGGATGGGATGGCTGCCCACAGCGAGCGTTTCCAGAAAGCTCGCCAATTCAATCGTGAGAAGGACTTCCCCCGACACCGAGCGAATGCTCAACATCTGCGCACTCGGCATCTAGTCGAGGGGCCTTAACACCTAGAATAAGGTTTTGGGGCCAAATATACTATAACCTATGAATATGAAGGAACCCTAAACCCTAAACCCTAAGGAACCCCAACCCAACAGTATGGGATAGTATGGGTAACTATTTAGGCCCCTCTACTAGTGGCGTGCCGAATAAGAAGCCTTTGCAGCTGAGAGCCTCATGCCAGAAAGTAGAACTCTGGGCTCACCGTACCTGGCCTAGGGTGTAGGGGTTTTGGGTTTAAGGATTAGGGGGTTTAGGGTTTAGGGGTGAAGCCCTAGATTTGGAACTCTCCGCGGATGCTTGGAGCTGAGCCACTTTGCTTGGCCGTTTGCGTTTTAAACTCTCCTTCCCACACAAATGTAGAAGCATCGAATCAGCCATTGCTGACAATAGTCGTAAGGACAGCCCTTTCAAAGGAGATGGTAACTTGGTCGACAGTTCCTTAACTCTCATAGTTGAACATCTTCCACTTGATTCATAGCTGAAGCCATACTCATATTGACGGTCTGGCACACGAAACCCGTCATGCTTGATCAGGAATAACCTACTATAGTGTTGGGGATGCTCTGCATTAAAGACAACTTACTGCTGTAGGGTTCAGGGTTTGGGGTTTAGGGTTTAGGGGTTTAGGGTTTAGGGTTTAGGCTTCAAGTCTACCAAGACTAACCATCCACGTGGCGACAAAGTTCACATACGAAGTTCATAGTGGAGGGTCAGCCCAAAATCCCACAGCACCATGAACCATGCTAGCGATAAGCCTATGTGACCTGCAGGGTCAACCGAAGGGAACCGTGAAAAGCAAAAACAACTGCCCGGGTACAGCCTACACGAACGCCACTGTTGTCAAAGCACTAAGCACTCAACCTCCAAGCGAACCAGAAACTACGTACATAGAAACCCTAAACCCTGAACCCCAAACCAATTTCCACAGAACATCACATTTCAACCCCCATAAAGCCTCGTGAAGCCTTGACCCTGAACTCGGTAAAGCCCGCCCAAACTTAAACCCAACAGCCTAAACCCTACACTGCACCTGGAACCCCTAAACCCTCAAACGGCCTAAACCTAAACCATAAACCCTATAACCCCCCAAAACCAGAAACCCCTAAACCCCCAAACCCAAAACCCCTCAACAAGCCTTTTGGAGCCCTCCTGTGGACAAACGGGGCCAGGCCTTTGGGTTGGCGGCGTAATGTGCCGCATCCTTCAGTGGGAATGTCGGCGGTGAGGTTTAGGGTTTAGGGTTTAGGGGTGTAAGGCCTAAATTAAAGGAAACTACAGGTGGGGAGTTTAGGGTATATAGGGCTTCTATAAGGCTCCTATAACGGTAACTACCCGCCTGAAAATGTCCTAGACTTGAAACCCTGACATCCCCACTTGCTTTGACGCACTCACACCACACTTACAGCATCCATAAGACTTCATGTGCACAGGCTCTACCTTGCGACCTAAAGCAACACTTGAGCGGTGAAGGTGGCCGAAGATTAAACCCTAAACCCGAAACGGACCAAATCGCACATCCCTAGGAACCCAGGAGTCTTCGCCCTTGAACTATATGAGTAGTTTCCTAAATTGGAGTCCTTTTTTGGGGGGGCCCTTTTTCTCAGGGTGCCGTACTATTTTGTGGACCTCAGAAGGGACCCTGCTTTTAAGAACTACCCATGTGTATCTAGCTGCAAATCCTAAACCCTAAGTTCCGCAGGTCCCGAAAAAATAGAAGTTAGGACCAGTTAGGATCAGGGGGCCGAAGTAGGAGATAAGGTTTAGGGGTTTAGGGATTTAGGGTTTAGGGATTATAGGGGTTTAGGAGTAGGGGGACCTTTGGGGATATCGACCCTCTCAATAAGGTCCGCTTTGAAGAGAGCCAGAAGTAGGGTTCAGAAGGGTCCCCTTTAACGGGTCTCCCTAATAGTCCGCAGGAAATACAGCCCTAATGTTGGAATCCCTTTAATATTTCGGGTGACAATAAAAATACCTGCCGGGGGCATAGGGCCTGGGCGGAGACTACTTTCAATTGCGCAGAGCATCAAGGCCAGATTAGCCTAAACAAACGATGTTAGGCCTAGGGGTGAAATGATAAAAGGGGTGACAATAAAAATACT